CCCCAAAACCCCAAAACCCCAAAACCCCATTTTCTTAATAATTTATTGAAATTTTAGGTAGAAGAATGGATAGTTTAGGTGTGAATGGGACTGACAGAGGGGCATTGGGGGTGGAAGAGTGATGATTGGGATCAGAGGTGTTGGAAAGAGACTTGTAAGTTGCCGTTTTGGGGAGAATTTGGTTTATGCTATATAGAACCCAGATCTGCCAAATCCTGGATCACCTCCTGCTAAAGCCCTCTCCAATCCTATACTTCGTTGTAAATCCTCACTACCACACCCTATCTCTCATCCCCTCCCTCTCTTCCTTTCTAAACCTTGACCTAAAAATCCACCACCCAGTCACTAAATTCCTTCTAAAAACCCTCAAAAAGTCAACCTCCCTTGAAACCAGGCTCAAGCACATCTGGTTCTGCTTCAGGTACATCCTCCAAGTGTGCACTCAATCAAAGCTTTGCCGCCAAAGTAAGCCACATATTTATTCTACCTTACAAATTAACAAATCCCTAACACATTTCCTCTACCACGCCAAATCACTAATAAAATTCGCTCTCCAGCTAAAGCTTAACCCACCTATAACTTTTCTCTGCTTCCTGAACTCTAACCTTATATAGAACAAATCGAGATTTTAACTGGGCGATGACTGAAGGAAATTGAACAAGTGAGGGCAGTGGTTAAGGAAGAAGGGAGATTTGGAGAAATGGAATTTAGTGTGGATCATTATGAGTCGTTGATAGGGGTGTTGTGTGGGATTTTGGGGAGGAATGGGGTTGATGAGGAGTTTATGCAGGGGGAGAATGTGGTCAGGAGGTTGGCGAAAGTGGTGCTGGATTTTACGTTACGTAAGGAGTTTTGATGAGGGTTTAGATAATCTGAAGGGGATTGGTGGGGTGAGTTTGACGGTTTTGGAGATTGTTGGGAGTTTGGAGCATTGAGTTTCGGATACTTATCTTTTTAAAGGGATAGTACATCCGGTGACTCGTAGGAATAAGTACCTATACTCTTGAGTCTCTTTTAATCTATCTTCTTGACCTGTAGTCTTGCTCACTTTCGACTTCACAATGGCAGAATATTTGAATTATCTTGAATCTTCAATGGGAATCACTCTGGCCCAATCCTTCACAGATCCAGATAACTTTCTCCTTAAAGAATGGAGGAAGACAAAGGATGCATTCCTAGAACTACTCTGTAGCCTGAAGAGCCAATTAAGCGAGCAAACTTGTGAGAACATCCTAGTCATCTGTCAGAAGAAATTTGATTTTTCCTTCAGAGAGAAAATAGTTAAAGGTAAACATATTTTACAAAATTTAGAGGGAATCCATATTATTGATCAGATCGGAGTAGCTCAAGTAGACCAGTTTAAGAAAGGTTTTGGGATTCAGCAAGAGATTTCAAGTTTTGGAGGACTCAAGGCTCCTCTCAGGTCAGGTCAGTATGGAACTTTACAGAAGGGTTATATCGAAGAAATTAATGAAGAATCGTACTTTAAACTTGAGTGTAAAGAAACCTACACTTGTGTTTTATATAACAACTTCAAAGAATTCATTGATTACAAAGAAGCTCTTCAGGCTTCTTTTGAAGAATTCAAGAAAACTTTACTTTCAGATGAAAAGGTGATAACTGGTTCATATTTTGCAAAACTACAACAAGTTTTAGATTTACCTAGAGAGTCTATTACAAGACAAGTTTTGAATCAATATTTGAAGCTAAAAGGCCTTACAGAAACTCCAATCTCCTCCATTATTCTTAGAGCCACTACAACCGAAGAACTTATCGACCAGCATCCTGAAGAAAAATTTTCAGATTGATATTACACTACAAACAAAGAAATATTCCTAGAAATACTCGATATCCTTTCAGTATGCCTAAAACTTCGCCTCTGCATTTCAAGAAGAAAGGCTATATAATTCAATAATTTACCTTAAAAAGGGGTTTTGGGGTTTTGGGGTTTTGGGG